ATGTGTTTTGGAACCGTAAGATGTAAAAACACAATAACATGCTCGATTAAATAAAGATTAACAGATGAAGGTTGGCCTAGAACATTTCTTAAATACGGGCAGTCTTTGACATGGAGGTCAAATTATGTAACAATCATGTAATGATGTTCGTAAAAAGCAGAGAAAGAGGCTCGACCTATAATCACCCACCTACAGCTTCTTTCTCCTATCCATTTTCAAAGTATCAAAGGGAGTAGTTTGAGGCGTGCAGACTTCAAACAAACATAAAGAAACATGGTCCATATTCCACAATAAAAAAGACAGAATTTTGACAACATGGGACAAATATAAGCAAAATGGGATTGAGCAAACCATACCCTCAATCTGTCGGATAGGATGGAAGGAGTGATAAGCTTGTACTTTGGAGCTTCTGAAAGAAGCTTGTCGTAGGTTCCCTGATCAAACAATACCAAGTTATTCACCTTCTCCTTCTGCTTTCCCTTGCTCCATTTCTGAACAACAAACAGTAATAAGAATTGTAAATACAACACTCAATGATAAAATTTACAAAAAATTCCTCAAACAAACTAACACTAGCAACAGGCATGAAAAATGTACCTGAATGCTCACTAGACCCATAATCACTAAACTTTCAAAACAAAACAGTCATCACATAAAGAATTACCTTCTTCTTCTGCTTTCCTCCGCCAGATTTAGCAGGCTTGGATGACGGAGGAGGAGCCTTATCCTTCTTCGGTGCCTGTTAGATAGATACCAAGTAGGAAAAAGTTACATCTCTGAATTCATGCATTGTATAACACTTGAACCTTCCCATATTTTCGACTTTCAGTAGAAAAATTACTTGTACTTTTTACCCTAGAACCTCACATATAGAAAGTAGAAACAGAGAAACCGTCATGATTTTTTTCTTTTCTTATATCCGCGAGTATACGGGCAACTGACAAGCTTGCATGCACCTCGATTAATCTCACAAGACAACCGCTTGACCCTACTACATTTCGTTGTCAATGTATCTTGTATATTCTAGGTAGGTGACCACCATAGTTTAAAAGCATTCTCTCTAAGTATTTCACTATTTACCTATATTGCCTCAAATTGACCACTAGGCCGATCCACGATGGTTCAGAGAAACCATCATGATACATCCCTATAATTGCTGCTGATTCATCTCAACCATACTTCAGATCCAACAAAGAAAAATAATCGACCTCATTGCCGTCCAGTCCAATCCAACTAATTCCGCAACTTTAATGTTAAAAAATTAGTCGATTAGGCTCTGTTTTCTAACCAATAAAATCAGCATAGAACATGGGCTCACGCAATAACGATTTTATATCGCTTATTTTCCACAAAACAAAACTAATTCCGGAAAACCTAGCATCGCTTTATCAACTAAAGATCACAAGGGAAAAGTTGCAGTAGTTCACAAGAAGATTCTACACCAGTCTTACTCGATGGCCTACGTAACATACAGTAAGAGAAAAAGAAGATAACTTTAAGGATTCAGTGTAAATAGCATACCATGTTGGCTGGGTATTGCGCAGAGAATTTGGCTCAACGACGAAGCAGAAGCTTGTTGTGGGTGAACTTTGGCTGGAGTTCAGATCATAATAATAAAGTCTAGGGTTTCTCCGTTGATGACTGTACAGGGATTTTTGTTTTCTTTAGATTTAAAAACTATATTAGTACTTTTTGTTTTGATTTTGTTCTTGAATGCACTTTCAAAATATCTATTATATTCATTTATTAAAAAAAAGGAGTTAATTTGGTTATTATTTTTTAGTAGGTTAAATATAGAGTGGCCATAGGAAATAAATGCCATATGAGCTAATGTTGGTGATTTTAATCTCTTTCTAAAAATTTGGCATAGTTTTTATACCCTGTGAAAACTTTTTACTAAAAATTTATGGTTATATTTTTAATTCATTTATTAAGTGGAATATAATATTAAAATTGATATGAATGAAGTAAGATAAAAGACATAATAAATAGATTAATGGTCATTTTTTAAAAGTACGAGGATACGATGGATATTTTCAAAAACTATTGATAGTTAGTTAGGGATCATTTTTACCATTTAAAAAGAGGTATAAAATATGGAGATGGGTAATTTATACATTCTTATCGTTTATAGTTTTATAATTGACGTTAATCAAACACGATTTAAGTAGATAAAAGTATATAATTACCATTTTTAAGGTTGATAATTCGATCTTCCATGATGTAATAAAAAAATAAAAAGACAGTTTTGACAAGTGATTTCATATTTATATAACTAGATCTTAAACGTTTTTTTCCCCCAAAGTTTATATTATTTTATTTACTTGAACATTAATGACTTAATCGCACTACTTCCCTACCTAAGCTTGAGATTGTATCCAACAAAATTAAAAGTAATTTAAAATTGAAAACCACAAATAAAAAATTGAATTTTCATAATCAATATTGTAAAATAA